TAAAAAATAACAGTAAATAAATAGAACTACCAAAAAGAATGATCAACTCAAAAAATAAATGTTTGAAAATATTATAAATAAAATATCTTTTTAATATTTATTTGATAACAAAATAAAAAAAATGAAAATATGATAATCAAATAGAAAGTACAATAAAAAAATAATCTAAATTTTAATTATCAGTAAATCAAATATTAAAAGATAAAATTAAAAAAAATATTAAATTAAAAAAAACTATCCAAGTTTACTTAGGTCAATCTACTAAATACATGACTTGTTCAAGAGATCAAGATAACACGTAAAAGGAAAATTAAATAAAATAATGAAGCTTAAATCTTAAACAAATTAAATCTTAAACAACTCAATGTTTAATGGCAAAATAAAAAAAATATCTAATATAAAAAAAAACAATAAAATAAAAAAGATGCAAGTCCACCTCTGAGGTCAACTTGCTAACATGATTTTGAAATAACTCCACCATAAAAGAAAGGAAAAAAAATCATAAAATCTAATTTCATGCCAATTTAATATTGAAAGATAAAATAAAAAAAAATTCATCAATTTAAAAAGGACTTGGAAAATACTGAAGTTAACTTGAGCTGATTTTTGAAACTCGTAACTTGAGTTATGAGGTTGAGACTAATTCCATAAAAAGCAAATTAAAAAAATCACGAAACCAAATCCTTAATTAACAAATTATCAACAAATGAAATAAAAAAAATCAATAAAAAAAGGATAAAAAAAATAGCAATAAAGAAAATGAAAACCAAATTTAACATAAAAAAATGACATGGGATGAAATTAAAAATTAAAAATTAAAAATAGAAAATATTATAAATAAAATATCTTCTTAATATTTATTTGATAACAAAACAAAAAAAATGAAAATGTGATAATCAAATAGAAAGTACAATAAAAAAATAATCTAAATTTTAATTATCAGTAAATCAAATATTAAAAGATAAAATTAAAAAAAATATTAAATTAAAAAAAACTATCCAAGTTTACTTAGGTCAATCTACTAAATACATGACTTGTTCAAGAGATCAAGATAACACGTAAAAGGAAAATTAAATAAAATAATGAAGCTTAAATCTTAAACAAATTAAATCTTAAACAACTCAATGTTTAATGGCAAAATAAAAAAAATATCTAATATAAAAAAAGCAATGAAAAAAAAAAGATGCAAGTCCACCTCCTAGGTTAACTTGCTAACATGATTTTGAAATAACTCCACCATAAAAGAAAGAAAAAAAATTATAAAATTTAATTTCATGCCAATTTAATATTGAAGGATAAAATAAAAAAAAATCATCAATTTTAAAAAGGACTTGAAAAATACTGAAGTTAACTTGAGTTGATTTTCGAAACTCGTAACTTAAGTTATGAGGCTGAGACTAACTCCATAAAAAGAAAATTAAAAAAATCATAAAACCAAATCCTTAATTAACAAATTATCAACAAATAAAATAAAAAAAATCAATCAAAAAAGAATAAAAAAAATAGCAAGGAGAATGAAAACCAAATTTAACATAAAAAAATGACTTAGGATGAAATTAAAAATTAAAAATAAAAAATATTAATAAAAAAATAAAAATCAAATTTAATATAAAATCAAATGCAATCAAGTGCCATAGATAGAATGAAACTAAAAGAAAAAAAATTAATAGAAACTGATTCAAAACAATGGCAGGGTACCTTTTAAATTTTGTAAGCCAACATGATTATTAAGGAAAGGAGAGAGTAAAGAGGGAGGAGAAGGAAAAAGCATGTCATCGCCTAGCTACTGTGCAACAATCAACACGCGTCACACCACCAAGATGAGTATAGGGTGACAATTCCAACATCATTGTGTTAGTCATCGTTTGGCTGTTGGGAGATACTCCACAAGCTTATGAAGATCGGTAAAGCCGCGTTAGTCTATTTATCCTAGTCCCCTTATTTATTTTAGTTTCAATTTTAACTCTTTACCACTTAATTGTTTTAAATTAGCCAAGATTTTTTTTTCTTTTTGCAAAATTAAGTATCAACCCAGTAATGAAACTTCCCCTCCATATTGCAAGACACTCATACGAAAGCAATCACAACAAAATACTAAATCAAATTCTAAATAAAACTAATACAAAGAAATGAAATTAAAAAAAAAAGTAAAGGATCAAAATAAAAAAATGTTCATGAAATTCCTTAGTGACCTTTAGTTTTTGCCTTTTCTTCTTTTTCTTCTTCTCTCCTTTTTTTTTTTTTTTTTAATATTGATGTATATCTTATCTATTTTGGTGGAAAAATTCATTTTCATTTTTCTGATTTTTTATTGGAAAAAAACTAAAAAGGAAAAAAAGTTTTATGCTACGAAATACATTCCCAACTACAGTTTAAATATGGATATTGATATATGTAGACTTCAATTCAATTATAAAAGCTTCTTCGATTAATTCAATATTCTCCACACTTGTGTATTGAAAATCTTAATGCAGTTGGTTAAAACAAAAGGTGCGTATTGAAAACTAAATATGACCGCAGTTTCAATTTGGCACTTAATTCACTGGCTATAAATTCAAATGTGTGATTTTAAATTGCTAATATAAATAACTAAGCAAATTTGTTTAGGTTAAGAAATCCATATTACACATATTTGTAGTTGCAGCAAGAAAAAATTAATATTATTGGTTAAAATAGTTGTCGAGACAATAATTTTTGTAATGTAAAACAATATAAATATTACAAACATGGTATTGAATATAAAAAACTTGAATAATAATTGTCTTGGAGGGGGATTTTAGTGGTAGTAATCATCATCAGCTCATCCAAGCTACTGGGGATATCATATCTGCCGTAAAAATCCCTCTCTTCTTCAACGCTACCATTGACACCAGTTGTGGACCGAAAATGCTAGAGGGTTTTGGCAACTAGACTTGGTGGGTTACGAGAAATTTACTCCAAAATCGGCTTCACTAGACGGGGTTTCATTTAGAAATTGAGTGCTTGTGTTTTTTTTTCAAAGCTTTAATTATGCACCCAGTTGTCAAAAAAGAAATAGAAATTCTTACGAGCAGTTTGCCAGGTTACGCAATTTTAAAATAATATTATAATCTAATATATATTTAAATGAATTGATGATTAATTTACAAGTTACCTGATACATGCCTGAAGGCTGAAATATAAGCACGAGGGACAACATTCACCGCCGTTCAATGTCAAGGTTAGCATTGACTATGCTCAATTCCATGGCGTATGATAATTTAAGGTTTTATTTGGCATAATTCTTGAAAATTCATTTTCATTGTTTTTTAAACTTTTGAGTCAGAGAAGAATTATAAATATATTTTATTAGAAATGATTTTTTTTATTTAGATAAGAATTTAAGGTTATTCAAGTTTATTTATATCTTTTTAAAATGTCTATATTTTTGTCATTTTAAATAAATATAAGGGTCCTTGTAACAAAATATAAAGAAGATTGTATAACAAGAATAATCTCTAAATCAAGAGCAGAATAGTTAAAGGTTATTAACTCAATTTATTTCCACAAGTATTCCAAACAGTGTAATTAAATTAAATTATATGATTTAGTATTTTATTTTAAATATAAAAATTGTAATATCTTATAATTGAATTCAAATGTATTTATAAATTAAATTAAATTCAATACATAGTTCAATTTCAAATAAGCTGTTAGTTTTCAACATACAGTAATTGTAGCTTAGTTAAATCCATACGCGTTTCATCGTATAGACTATGGAAAGAGTATGTTAACATAAATAATTCAGGAATCATTTGATTGGACATCACCAATCAGGACCACAACATTACCAAGAATTCCCAGTTCGTTAACAAATCTCCTCAATCCTCTTTCTCAATCGCTCCCCACCCAGCGGACAATGCTAGACTTTGCCAAGGGAAGAAACATGCCATCCTTCGAAGAGGGGACATCTATATATATATATATATATATATATATATATAAAAAAAATA